CACCGTTGCGATCGGGCAGTTAAACTCTATCTAACGATATAATTTTTATATTTATTTGTAATACTTTTTCCGACATCATATTTTTGGGTGTTTGACTTTAACAGAGTCAAAATTGGTTTAATTGACCTTTCTCATAAAAGGTTCTCTCATTTAATTCATATCAATTATTCTCATGATTTATTTCAATAAATCATTTCAAAGTTCACATCATAATTAATTAATTTATTTATTCTTGATTTGGGTTTGTACTCAGGTTCCCAATCAAGACCACACAAATACTCCACATATTGGATTTATCTCAATTAGACTTATCCAGATTTTGATATTGGATAAAAAAAATATTTCATATCAGCCCAAAGCCCAATAATAATCAAAACAAATTTGTTTAATCGAATAATTATTTAATAATAATTCTAGGGTATGTTTCGGGGCGTTACAAGATCACATCAAACTCAATCAGATCCAACTAGATCAAATCAGATCAGTCCAGGTTTGATCAGAACATCAAAAAACTAGATCAGGTAAGATTAGACGAACAAAACGCAGCCTTAGTCATCATGTGGAGCGTGTTTCAATTCCGGTTGGTTTGGATCGGATCCACTCGGCAAAACGGGAGGCGTGAATCAGGTCGGATCATTACCAATTTCAATTTTTTTTTTGCTTTCAAAAATCAAAATTTTTTTCTTGCCCATGGAATTTTGAGTACAATGGTTATTGGACTTAGGGTGCCTATTCACATCATTTTTTCTTCTTATTACTTATTCTTATTAAAATCAAATTAGATCAAACCAAATCAGACCAGATTGGATCTAATCAGATCAGACCTAATTAGATCAGATCCATTTAGCTCTGATTTAGTTCAATTAGATCAGGTCATGTAATGTTCCGAAAATAGGCCTATTAGAAGTAATTAATTGATAATTAATTAATTACTAAGATGGACCCAAAAATAAGTGATTTACAAAATTTGTCAATTCATTTTGAAAATTATACCTTGTGTAGAGTTTGATTGTTTGATCACAACGGTGCAATTGGATTTTAAATTGGAAAAAATTGGACAAAAAAGTGTACCCCAATTGCGACCATTTTAGTCCCAATCAAGGAGAGGCATTAAATATCAAACTAGATCACTGTTTCTCCCACTATCGCAAATCGAATAATGCAGCAAGTTTGGCTTCACCTTCTTCTTCCTCCTATATAAGGAAGCTCCAACTCTCCCCATTCTTCATCAAATTCTCCCATTTCTTCTTCTATTCTGTTCTTTGTTGTGAGAAGACTGCAGTGGTGCTGTCCGGAGAGCTTGAGGTCGTCAGAGATAGTCATATTCTTCGTCGGAAGTCTTGCCGTAAAATTTCCATTTCTTTCGGTTAAGCTCGAGGTGAGCCCTTAGATATATCTAGTGATTAAAATTTTCATATAGATAGCTTTTACGTTCATAAACGATTATTTGGTTGAATTTTGTGTTAGACATTGTTAACGAACCAAGAATCATAAACCTTCAAATGATTGTTAAAGGAATTAACTGTATAAAAATTATCTATGAATGTTAGAGAATATTTCTATATGGTTTAATTGAAGCTTGTTAGCTTAAAACAATGTTTTTGAAATTGGGGCCGAGGTTGAAGATGACCAATTGCATAACGGTTGACCACCGTGTGGAACAATTGACCATTCCGCAACCAGTTGACGTTCCTGTACGTTACCAGCAATGGTCAAGCGTTTTAAGCCTAGTTGCAGAGTGGCGGAAACGTTCGACTGTTCGACAGTAACGATCAACCATCACGAGATAATTCAGAACTGGGAAACTTGATTTTTAAGCTGTAAAATCATTTTTTTGATACCATTCAATAATAAATAAGTATGAATATAATTTCCAAACTAAATAATATTATGCTTTGATAAATTCAAGAACATTATTTGATGCATGATGGTAAGCTAGCTTGTTAACACTCGATGCTAGGCCGTTGTTTGTTATTACTTATGATGATCATTATTATTGATTATGATGATTGTACCTCGATTAAAAATAAATATCTTGATTATAAATACATACATACATACATACATACATACATACATATACATACATACATACATACATACATACATACATACATACATACATACATACATACATACATACATACATACATATATATATATAGGGGCTGGTTCAAGTGAGAATGCACCTTGGTGAAAGAAATAAGAATAAAATCTGGCATTTGGATCTGATGCATCGTGCGGCTCAGATTGCATTCTGCACTCAAATTTTGAGATAGTGCATTTTCACTATCTCGAGTGACTCGAGTGAGATGACACCTTATGGTGAGATGACATTCTTCGGTGAGATGACGCAAAGCTCACCACACTACACTAAAAAGCTCACCAATGGACAATGCAAAGCTCACCTATAAATAGAGTAAAGCTCACCACTTTGAACACCAAAAATCACCTTTTTTTAAATTTTGAAAATTAGAAATTAATAAAAAACAAAATAGCAATACCGGTCAACCACCGGTCAGTGGCGGTGGCAGGCGGCGGAGCAGCGGCAGTTGCCGGCGACCGGCGGCGGATTCCGGTGACCGGTGGTGGCGGCAGATTCTGGTGACCGGCGACTGGCGGCAGATTCCGGTGACAGGCGGCTGCAGGCGGCGGATTCCAGCGACCGCCGGTGGCCGGCTGCGACAGGCGGCGGTCAAAGGTCTCGGTCAATGGTCAAAGTCTAGTCAGCACCCCTTTCTTTGATTTTATTTTTTAAAAAAAATTCAAAGTGTTGAAAAAATATGGTGTGCTTTGCCTTACAGTTTGGTGAGCTTTTTAGTTGTCCTTGGTGAGCTTTGCAGTTGGGAGTGGTGAGCTTTGGGTCATCTGACTGTAGCATGTCATCTCACCGTAATGTGTCATCTGACTGGAGTCAATCTCTCTCTCTTTCTCTCTCTCTCTCTCTCTCTCTATATATATATATATATATATATATATATATATAAATGCTTTTAGAGAGAGAAAAATCCTCAGGCACTATTGCCGGAATCCATGGCCGGAAAAAGCTTTTCTCAAAAGTTCTTAACACAATTTCTGAAGAAGACAAATTACAAGGTTCTGTTCAAGGTGATTTCAAGGGCTGTCCATCAGTATCCTTCACACCTGAAGATATTCAGAAGCTTTCCAGGAAATTCACTAATGCTCTGATTGGTACATTTGCTCGAAGGCCAGCTTATGCAATCTTGAAGAACTTCTTGCAGAAGCTTACTACAGGGGGAATTTTCAATTGGAACACTCTCCTATAATCAGGTTCTTATTAATTTTCAGTACGAAGAAGATTATCAGAGGGTGTTTCTTAGACAAACTTGGTCAGTAGGTAATCAACTTATGGTGGTTACAAAATGGACTACTGATCACACAGAAGGGATTGATTGTCCTGTGGTTCTAGTTTGGGTTAGCTGCCCTAAACTTCCCATCTTTCTTCATGATCAGAGAGCCCTTTTTATAATAGCTTCTGCTATAGGAAGGCCTCTTAAATTGGATGAAAGCACCCTCAGGTTCTCTAGACCAGAACTGGCTCGTTTTTGTGTTGAAATTGATGTCTCCAAGCCACCCCCTTCTAAGATTCATATCAACCTGGGAGGGAAAGACTTATTTCTCCAACTGGTGTATGAAAATATTCCACATTATTGTTCTTCGTGTTCAAAACTGGGTCACTTGAAAGGTCACTGTAGGAATCAAGAGCTGGAACTCAAACAACCAGTCCAAATTAGAGAAAACAAGGGCAAAGAGATAACTGGAGAAAAGTGGACTGTTATTACCTCCGAAAGAGGTGGGTCTGAAGCTATTTGGAAAAGAAAATTAGGTCCCTCTTCTTCTGGACCTGGGGAATGTTCCAAATCATGTGAGGCACAACAACTACAGGACAAGGACAAGGAGACCCCAGTGCCAGTAGTACCATGTCCAACCCCTGCAGCATCATCTCCCATTTATGCTCTTTTAGACCCCACCCGTCCTCAGGGCCAAGAAGTTATTCCAGATAGTGAGGGTAATAATATGGCATTGGTTTTGTGGAAACCAATGCCTATAGCTCAATCTAAATTCTCACCACTCCTGCAACTTGAAGAAGAAAATGAAAGTGATGAATCCGATTATGAAGACCTGGGAATTATGTATGGTTATCCCTGCAATTCCAAAGGCCTCCCACCTATCCCAGAAAAAGTAAAAGATATCCAGCTCAATACCTCAATTAAATCCAGGCTTAGATCAGCCAATAAGAGCTCAAATCACTCAGTTTCCCAATGAAAGCTCTATTTTGGAATGTTTGTGGTATCAAGTATTCCCTCAATAGACTTATACTTCTCAAGAAATGTTATAACTTCATTTTCCTAGCTATCTTTGAACCTATTGTGGAGGAAAAAAAACTGGACTTTTACAAACTCAAGCTTGGCTTCAATCATGGATTTTCAAGTCAATTTAACAAATGTTGGATCTTCTGGGATAGTGATAAACTCAGTTTATCTCAGGTACAAGAAGGGGAACAAGTTACTACCTGCATTTTCAATTTTGTGGAAACTAAAGCCCCTATATTTTTCAGCTCAGTTTATGGAAAAAACACCAGAATAGACAGACTCAATCTCTGGGAATCTCTCATTGATCACAACCCAGAAGCTAAACCTTGGATGGTGGGAGGGGATTTCAACACAATTACCTCCTACACTGAGCACCAAGGTAATAGCTCTCCATGTAGCAGAAGTATGGAGGATTTTAGAGATTTTATACTCAGCTGCAATTTATTAGAACCCACCATCAAAGGCAGCTTCTTCACCTGGATGGGTTATAGATCTAAAGGTAGGGTCTTACGAAGGCTTGACAGGATACTAATCAACCAAGAATGCTTGGAAAGTTTTAGTGATATTTATCTTCATCACCTTAGCAAGACCTCCTCTAATCACAAGGCCCTACTTTTGGAGTGCATTAACTCTACTTATAAAGGACCCAAACCCTTCAGATTCATTAATGCTTGGACTTTGGATGATAGCTTTTATCTAATGGTCAAAAATTATTGGAACTCTATCTCTAATGGTAGAGGAATGAGGGGTCTGGCCAATAAGCTCAAGGGTCTCAAATTCTGCATTAAGGAATGGAATGCTAACCATTTTGGCGATATTTTTACTAAAGTCAAGGAGGCATAAGATGAAGCTATTAAAGCATAGGAAAGGTTTGAATCATGCAACACAGATGATAACAGAGAGGCCTTTCATCTAGCAAATGCAAACCTTCTCAAGGCATGCAAAACTTAAGAAAACTACTGGGCACAAAAAGCAAACATCAAGTGGCTAGCTAGTGGTGATGCTTCTACCAATTATTTTCACTCTCTTGTTAAAGGAAAAAGAAGGCAAGCTAGCATCAGAGAACTTAAAGACCATTCAGGGAGGGTGCTGCTAGATCCATATCTTATTTCTAATTACATTTCCAATCATTATGAAGCTACATTTTCTAAGGAGTATACTGGGAATCTGGGGGACATCATTGCTAACATTCCAACTGTTATTAATGACCTAGATAACCAGTGTATCACTACTCTCCCTCTAGAAGAAGAAATCAAAGCAGCAATCTGGCAACTCAATCCCAACAGCTCTGCAGGTCGTGATGGTTACAATGGAGAATTTTTCAAACACTTTTGGGATATCATCAAGGCAGACCTTATCAGTGCCACTCATGAATACTTTCAAGGCATCCCCATTCCTATGGATTTTGGAAGTACTAATATCGCTCTTATTCCCAAAGTGGAGGGAGCTAGAGAAATTGGTGACTACAGACCTATTGCTCTATCCACCTTTTTTAGTAAGATGCTGTCCAGGATTGTGGCTAACAGACTTGGCCCTTTGCTTAATAAATTAATCTCTCCTGAGCAAGCTGGTTTTCAAAAAGGGAAAGGTATTGAGGAGCATATCCTCCTAACCAATGAACTGATGCACAACCTAGACTCTAAGGTTAGGGGAGGTAATGTTATGATCAAGCAGGACATGGCCAAAGACTTTGACAAGATCTCCTGGAACTACCTTCAGGCCGTCCTTCAAGCTTTTGGGTTTAATGAACAAAGCATCTCTCTCCTTCTCCAAAATTTTAGGGCAACTTACATGTCTGTTTTGGTGAATGGGAAACCCAATGGGTTCTTTAAAATCATGAGGGGAGTTAAGCATGGTGATCCTCTTTCCCCTCTCTTGTTTATTATAGGATCTGAGGGTTTTTCAAGAAGCTTAAATCATGCCATCAATTCTGGATACATCTCCCCTTACAAGGTGGGGAAGAATAGAGTGATATCCCATCTTACTTTTGTAGATGATCTTATTATCTTTCTTAAGGGCAACCTTAGGAATATCCTTAGATTCAGACACCTTCTGGATAGCTATCTTAAGGCTTCAGGACAGGAGGTTAATAAAAAGAAAAGCAGGATATTCTGCAAGAAAGGGAGCAGAGGCTTATATACTAGGAAGCTGGAAGATACTTTAGGGTTTAAGGTGGGAAACCCTCCTTTCAAATACTTGGGCTCTACTATCACTCGGGGTAAACTAAAAAAGACTCACTGTGATCACATTCTTCACCATTTTGATGCTTATATCAACAATTGGTATAGTAAAGAGCTTAACCCTATGAGTAGACTCATTCTTATCAAGCATGTCCTAAGTGCAATTCCTATGCATACCCTTGCTGTCCAAGATCTTCCTAAATCCATTATTAGGACTATTCATGGCAAACTGGCTAACTTCTTCTGGGGGAGCAAACAAGGAAGAAACCATTACCATTGGGCCAAATGGGACACACTAACTAGACCCACTGGAGAGGGAGGTCTGGGGATCAGGAACTTGGAAGATATTCAGAAAGCCTCAGCTTTAAAACTTTGGTGGAAGTCTCTTACAGGGGATTCTCTCTAGGCCAGATTTATGAAGAACAAATATGCAGGGGAAGGAACTTCTGAGGCTAAGATTTATGACTCTGCTTCTTGGAAAAGAATTTGTAGAATCTCTCCTATCGGTCTACATTTCACTACAATTACCAACCAGAATGTTAGTTGGGTCAATGGTAATTTCTCCTTTAAAGAAGCATATTGGGCTGTTAGAGAGAGGGATGTCAGCACTCAAATCAACACACTAACTTAGAATAAGTTCCAAATCCCTAAAATTAAGCTTTTCACTTGGAAAGCTCTTAACCAATATTTACCCTTCCCTAATATTCTCAACAGATTGTCCTATAACATGCCTAGCAAATGCCCATTTTGCAATAACAATGAGGCAACAGATTCTCACATCTTGCTTACCTGTGATTTATCAAGGAGTATCTGGAAAGACCTTTGCAGATTATACTATGGGGCTAATCAGGACTAATGCGATGGATCTCAGAGAATACATGTTGGAGTGGTGGCTGTCACATAGCAAAACATCTCTAAGAGGATTATTAAGGTTAGTTCTACCTGGCCGTATCATCTGGAATATTTGGAAAGCATATAACAGAAGCATCTATGAAGATACAAGGGAATCGAAGATTGGGATAACAATTGAAATCCAGAAAATGATTCAACATTGGGTATGGTCCAACAAGAAAGTACAGAAGATTGCAAGCAAGGAGGAAATTGAAGCTCTTAATCTCAAACCTTACCTCTCTAAGGACAAATGAATGCCATGGACGTTGCGCTGCAGATCAGATTAGGAAGCTGCTTCAGTTAAGAGTTAGAGGCAGTCGACTAGGCTCGTCTTTCTTGTATTTGTTCTTTCTAAGTCTATTGTTGTATCTTTTACTTTCGGGGCTTGTCTAGTCCTCCCCGAACGTGTTCGAATCTTGTTTAATAAATTTGGTAAGGCAGCTCGGACCTTACCCCACTGATTTTGCTGGTTCTTTTTCCGGGCCAATATATGTGTATATATATATATAATATTATATATATATATATATAATATTATATATATATATATATATATGAATTTTTGATATTAAAAAAATATCACATCCACGACTCTCGCATCCCTCTACTTCAAGAAAGGTAATGAGAATTTATTTGATAAATATTGACTCCATTCAATTATTATTTGATGACAACTTTAAGTACTTAAATCGTATTGAGTGTCAAATCAAGTTCGACTTTCGTATTCGACAAGAGACAGAAGAATAAGAGAAAAGTGTATGACTCCCTTATCCGTTATTAACGTACTCATCGCATCGCGAGAATGACTAAACTAAAGATCTATCTACGCTGTAAAGCTGCATGGATGCGAGACGACCCTGAAGAAACATTTAGTGTTGATTCTACAAATAACATGTGTGGATTGGGTGTCGAGGATCCTCATGTGGATTCAGCATGATCCGAACATTGATTCAAATGCGAATATTTAGAGATAATAAAACTCAATCATTTCTTCTCAAAATCCTTTTGATTCTCTACAATCATTGCAATTATTGTATTTCCTTATGATTTTTGTTAATCAACTCAACTACTCAAATTAAGAATCCTAATAAAAGAATTCATATTATTTGTAGAATGAGTCAAGAATCCGCACACGGTCAGGCCAACATAGGGCCCAACAAGGAACACGTGAGCATTCAGACTAAAGCATCGAGCTTCACTCCTCCTATTCAAAATGAACCAATCAATCAAAACACTTCCCAGAACATGGGAAATAATCAAAATGTTTGAGGTCAACCTGACTTCGTGATTCCTGTCTTTATGGCAAATTTTCTTCAACAAATGTCGAATGCCCCCATGTTCGAGCATGTACCTCCTCCATCACCTAAACAAATTACCTTCAAAAACCCTGAAGGATAATGGTGTGGAAGAATTCTATGGGGATAGAATTGCTGAACCCTAGATTGCTCTAGACTAGATCGAGCAGACCACTTGAGCGTTGGAAGACCCGAATGTACCATTGGCAAACTATCCAAAACTTGCGTCCCAATTACTCCATAGGGGGCCTATGAGTTGTGGAAATGCACCGATGAGGATCAGAACACACCCAAATCTTGGACTTGGGAATTCTTTGACTGGGAATTCGAGAAAGAATATATTCTTGCTCGATCCCGAGAGGCGAAACGTGCCGAGTTTGTAGAGCTGTAGTAGGGAATTATGACACCCCCTGAGTACCAACACAAGTTGTCCGCCTTGCTCAGTTTGCACCAACGCTGGTTGGCCCTGTGGCTGATCGCATTGAGGAGTTTTTCAAAAGCCTCCAACTTCACCTCAGGCTGCATGTGTCTATTATTCCTACTCTGGATTTCTCCCAGGCGTATGAATTGATCACCAAGGCATAACAATATCTGAGCAACTACAAGGAGAGTCTGAAGGCTGAGCATGCAAGTTCGAGTGCCCTACCAACTATTAGTAGAAAAAGACCCTTTGGTGTGACCGGTAGTGCCCTAAACTCGAAAAACGGCAAATCCTTGGCAACCCAATAAGTGGCATCTGGTGATAGGTCAAGGAGATGGAAGGCACATCCTGGGTTAGTAGGACAGTCCTTACGGAAGTGTCCCTCCTTCTCGCATCCCAAACATAGGCCTTGCGTGAACCAGTAGCCGCCCGGGTGATCCTTCCACACAGGTTGCATACAGCGTTCCTGGAGGGCTTGCTTCGGTTACTTGCCGACTGCGACTGAGCCGGTGCAGACTTAGTCTTCTTGAAGTTCTGGGTACCCTTAATACCCACAAAGGGCCTCTTGCTTCTTGGTGTCGCACTGGTCGCCGGTCGGTGGCTAGGTCTTGCCCCTCTAGCACTTACACTTGCCTTCAGATCATCCACGTCCTTCTCCGCCTCTGCCATTAAGTCGTACGCCTCAAAGAAGTCAGTGGCAGTCATCATGCACTATTACAAAAATGACCAAATAGATCTCCCATTTGCATCGGCTAGCAAAACAAACGATTTAAATGAAAAAAAATTCGCGTACCGGTTAGCATTTGAATCAGTTATTAGGTTTAACCGATGCAAAAGGCTAACTAGCATTTGCATCGGTTATACCTGATACCCAATTCAAATAACCATTTGAATCGGTTATTAGGATTAATTGATTCAAAAAACTCTGTTAAAGACAGCCTCCAATCCATTATCCTTACACTATTTTGAAAAAAACCTCCAAACCCTTCTTCGTCATCACGCTTGCTGTGCTCCTTTGCCGCTGTGCTCCTTCACCGTTGTCGCCTTCCTCATTGTCACCTTCGCCGTCTACTGCCTCGCCGTCATCCTCTTCACATTCTCCGTTGCCTCTCCTCGCCGTCGGTCTTGCTGTTGCCAATCTCTCCTCGTCGTCGCCCTCGTCGTTGCCAACCTCGCCCTGTTGCCTCGTCGTTTTCCCTCGCCTCCTCTACCCCACGCCGTGCTTGCTCGCCTCCTTTAAGGTATTTTCTTTAATTTTTTTAACTTTAAATATTTAATTATACTATCATTTGTTTATATATTTTTGCATTAGGTTAATATTTAATTAGTATATATTTGAAGTGCTTTTTTGTTTATGTTTAAGTTGAAATGTGACATTGTGATATAGATTGCGTTTGAAATATAGATTGTTTAATTACATTTTGTTTGAATCTACATGATCTGAGATGTTATAATATAGAAATAACATATATTGACCGACCTAGATACCCGTTTAAAATTTAGTCATTAGGAGTAAGTTTTAAATAGCTCCCAGTTTGGAGCTATTCTTGAAATGCTTCTCTCACTTAGGTAGTGAATGTATTTCTTTCTTTCTGTTCTGTCATTTTTTGGTTTGACGTTTCCTTAATGTGTTCTTCAGGTGCATATGTAATTACATTACATCGTACACTTGGAGAACCATTGGGAAATGCTGCTGAAATTTTGATAGGTCAAAGAAAATGAAATACATTTACTAGTGAGGGTGGCATTTCAAGAATGGGTTAGGATGGTGTAAAGAAGGACCATTTGTATAATGAAGAAGTGCTACTGGATTTTTGTTACATCATAGGACATAAAATACTGTGTTGCCTGTATTTCTTATATGTTCATGTGTATATATAAAATGAGTGTTAATAATTTTTTTGTGCATTGTTTTGCAAGTATCAGTCATTTGCCCTTCTTTTTTGCTTAGCAATTCATATGATGGATAGAAGTTGGATTCATATGTCGCGTACATCGCCTGGGTTTAGTTCTGGTTTGGAAGAGTTTATTCGTTTCGTAGAGAAACATTCAAAAGAAGGAAAAAAGATATATTGTTCTTGTAACTTATGTCACAACCATTTTATGGTTGATAGCGTTAAAGATATAAGATTACATGTGTATCGCAAGGGTTTTGACCCAACATACCTGCGATGGAAATGGCATGGAGAGTTAGAAAATCCTTGCAGATCTAGCTATACTCATAATGAACAAGTCGAAGATGATATTCACGACATCCACAATTTTGAGGTTAAAATGGAAGATGAGTTAGGGGCCACTCAAGATGTTCCTCTTGATCAAGTCATCATTGATGAAGAGCATAATATGTATGAGAGCTTAGTAGGAAGCTCAAAACACCCGTTGTATCCTGGTTGTACAAAGTTTACACGTTTGAAAGGGGTTTTGGAATTGTTCAATTTAAGTAGCAAATGGGTGGAGTGAGAAAAGTTTCACATCTTTATTAAGTTTGTTGGGTGAACTTCTTCCAGATGGACACGAATTGCCATCATCCACTTATGAGGCGAAGAAAATGATGTCTCCAATGGGTGAGGGCTACAAGAAGATGCATGCTTGTGTTAATGATTGCATTTTATATTGAAATGAGTTCGAGGATCTCAACGAATGTCCCAAGTGTTTTGCTCCAAGATACAAGAGGTCAACCAAAATGACTCATAACAAGGACAATATGAAAGAACCAAAAAGACTCCCGTTAAGGTTTTGTGGTACCTTCCAATAATACCAAGGTTCAAGCGTCTGTTTGCTTCGATAAAGGACGCTAATAATCTAGTGTGGCACACAGAGCAGCGAAAAGATAATGGCACCCTGCGTCATCCTGCGGATGCCCCACAGTGGAATACGATTGACTACACATTTCCGGAGTTTGGAAATGAGGGGAGAAACCTTTGATTGGGATTGTGTAATTAAAGGATCAATCCTTTTGAAAGCTTGAATATGCAACATAGCACTTGGCCGGTACTGCTTGTAATTTACAATCTTCCTCCAGAGTTGTGCATGAAGCGCAAGTACATCATGCTATCGTTGTTAATACCTGGGCCTAAACAACCGGGTAATGAAATTGATGTATTCTTAGCCCCAATGATTGATGACTTGAAGGAAATGTGGATTCATGGTGTCACAATATTTGATGCTTATCGTCAAGAGTGTTTCACATTACGTCCTATGATTCTTTGGACAATCAATGACTACCCAGCATACAGTAACCTATCTGGTTATAAGATTAAGGGAAAAATGCATGTTTGATATGTGAGGAGAATAATTCTAGTGTGTGGCTAAAGAACGAAAAAAACAGTCTTCCTAGGTCATCGCCGATTTTTAAGACGTCAACATCCTTACCGTCGCATGAGAAAAGCTTTCAATGGTCAAGCAGAAAATGAGGTTACTCCGAAAGTATTGAGTGGCAAAGCATTGCATGAGAAGTCGAAGAACACAAACCATATATTTGGTAAGACACAGAAAGTTGATCCAAACGGACCTATTTGGAAGAAAAGATCAATATTTTGGGAACTACCTTATTGGGAGTGCTTATCTGTCAAACATTGTCTTCATGTGATGCATACAGAAAAAAATGTATGTGATAGTCTTATTGGCACACAAGACTAAAGATGGTGTTAATGACAGAAAAGACTTAATAGACATGGGCATTTGAACTGAGCTTGGACCGCAAGAAAAAGGACATCGCACATTTCTACCTCCTGCTTGCTACACACTTTCTAGAGAAGAAAAAATCACTCTTTGTCAATGTCTACGTGATATAAAGGTTCCACAAGGGTATGCTGGAAACATTGAGAGTCGTGTGTCGATGAAGGATTTGAAATTGAACGGTCTTAAATCTCACGATTGCCATGTTTTAATTCAGCATTTCTTGCCAGTGGCAATTAGATCAATATTGCCAACGAATGTGAGGGGGGGCAATAACTACACTTTCTTTTTTTTACTATAGTTGTAGTAAGGTCATTGATGCTGAAACGTTGGTTCAGTTACAAGAGGAAGTGGTAATCACCTTATGTGAATTTGAGATGTTCTTTCCTCCATCATTTTTTGATATCATGGTCCATTTAGTTGTGCATTTGGTGAGAGAAGTTAAACTTTGTGGCCCTGTTTTTCTTCGGTACATGCATCCATTAGAGAGATTTATGTGTATTTTGAAAAGATATGTGAGGAACCAGTATAGACCTGAGGGCAGTATTGTAGAATGATATTTGGCAAAAGAGCTTATTGAATTCTGTAGCAAGTATTTGGAATTGGAGTACACGGTTGGGGTACTGAAGTCTCAGCATGAAGGTAGAACTGAGGGGAAAGGAACAATAGGACATCACATCATCCATCTTGACTCTGAAACGTTGAGTGTAGCACAACTCTATATTTTACAACAAATGGATGATGTTCGTCTGTATTTAGAGAAACACATGTCTCTTTTAAGACAAGAGAACCTTGGGAAAACTGAGAGGTGGTTGAGCAATGAGCACAATCGTATATTTCTAAAATGGTTTCAAGAGCATGTTCGCTGGAAAACAGTACATTCTCCTCATAATGTCACAGAAAATGTGCGATCATTAGCTACAGGACCGTCGGTAAATGTATCTTCTTACGAGGGGTACTACATGAATTGCTATTATTTTTACACAAAAGGTCATTATGAGAAGAGTACAGTACAGAATAGCGGTGTGTCCTTGAATGCTTCTTCCCTACACATTCCTAGGGGTAAAGATTCGACACCGATCCGGTCACACAAAACATACTATGGCTTGATCGAGGATATATGGGAACTCGAATATACAAACTTCACAATTCCTGGTTTCCGGTGTAAATGCGTGGATATCAACAAGGGGATTAAATTAGGTGATATGGGGTTTAAATTAGTGAATTTTCAGAAGTTGGGTCATCATGAGAAACCGATTATATTGGCCTCTCAAGCGATGCAAATCTATTACAGTGTTGATCCTAAAGATAAAAATTGGTCTGTTGTTTGATAAGGGAAGAGGTCATCAGTTGAGTTAGACGACGGTTTATACGATGAAGCAACTCATATTTCAATCATTTTGCCAAACTCACAAGTAGATGATCTAGGAGCAAAATACATTCGTGAAGATCACGAAGAAGGATAATGGATAGATGGGGGAAAGAAAAAGTTAAAATAATGCTTCAGGTATTTTTTTCTGTTTATATTGATCATTTTCATTTAATTCATTGTTGTTTCACATTTATTATACTTATGTTATCTAGATTGTTTTGAATTTATGCAGGTATGTCAGACAAACAGAAGAAGAAAAAGGTTAGAGGTGCAGGGAAGTGCGAGAAGTTGTATAAGAGGAGGAGGGAGGTTCACCCGCCTATAGAGTTTGAGTGGGATGGTGGGGAGCGTGTACGTGGACCGTATGTTTCGGAGTTTAGTGGGCTTGTAGGGTTTGAGGCCCCATCGAGAGTGCCGATTATTTATAATAATTGACATGATGCCTCGAAAGACCTGAAGGTCACGGTACTAAGGGGGTTCGGGTACGTACCATTTTATTTATCCTTATCTGCTAGCTTTAATTGTTACATGATTCTATATATAATAAATTGTTGCTTCATTTTCTTGTAGGATATATATATGATACCGCCCGGTGGGGTTCGGCATGTCATGACGGTTGCCGGGGCGAGATTTCGCGCTTTGAGGACATATTTACGAGGACATTATTTGACGGAAGGTAGGGATCATTACGGTGAGACTCCTATTTGTCTTTACAACTACATAGAGCCAAAGCATTGGGAGGAGTTTCAGATTCAAAACGAGACCGAGGAAGCTAAGGTAAAACATAATTACGTTCTTTGAATGAAATTAACTGATATATTAATTTATTTTAAACAATTGTTTTTAGGCTTTGAGCAAAAAGAACAGGGACCTACAGAAAAAGAATCCTTATCCGCACTTTATGGGCCGGGGAGGATATGCCATGCTCCAGCATGAGTTGGCTGCTTCTCAGGCCACCACTTCTGCCAATATCGCTGGTTTGTCTACCGAGATGGGTTCTCAGCTCGAACGGGAGGACTCTTGGTTGCGAGGTCACACCCTGGGGAGGCTGCCAGAAGATACGGACCCTGCACTGATGGAGATTCGTGATAGGATAGTAAGCATATAATCTACAATTACTTCGATATATTTGTTTATTACTTGTTTATTATTTGCTTACAATTTCTTTACTTCTTTTATTTCTTAATTGTAGGTCCAACTGAATAAAGAGGTTGCAGCCGGTACCTTTGTGCCAGATGGGCACAATGATGTACTTACTAGAGCATTAGGGACTGCTGAGCACCCGGGCGGATGAGGGGTGTTGGGTCATATGTGGGCTTACGTAAAGTTTTTCAAAGGCAACATGAAGCCCCGTAAGCCCGAAGGTAACTATATGACTGAGTAGGATTTTTTGCAGCGTTTTCCTTCCTTTTTGCAGCAGTATAGACTATCTGTGTCCGGGGGTGCTCCATACTTTGCATCCATGTCGCAGCACACACCTTCTGTAGCACCTCATTATGGGTAGCGTAGTAGCAAGGCGTCTACAGATTTTCTTGACTTCGCCGATCTCACTGATGTACATATATTTTTTAATTTAGGTTTCAAGTTTGGTATACGTTTACTTGTTTCCAACATTAGTTAAATAATTTTTTTTATGTTGCTGCTTGTTACTTGAGGATCTCTGATCCAGCCGATTATATAGTGGCACATGGATCGGTTTTCCCACGTGCACCGAGAGATATGGTGCACGGTGTTCCCCTCCTTCCCCACCATGTTAAGGTCTCTGTGACCCTTGTGCTTCCGGGAATGGGTGAGCATACCGTTCCTTGTTCGACTGAGCAGATAGAGACTGTCGCAGATTGCGAGGAGAGCTTCGTTGCATGACCAAAGTCGTTGGTGGGCCTTGGAGATGTAAGAAGTAAATAAATTTAGTTCTTTTTTATTCAGCATCATTTGGGCTGTGTTTCACATTTTTTTTGAAAATTATTGTAGCCCCCGTACACACGGCTCGACATGGCAACTTCTCATCAAGCAAATCTTGTCCTATTCTCGGCGTACGCCCCACTGCTCCTCCTAGCTCTCCCGTACAGGATGTTGTTGACCAAAGCTCATACGTCTCTTTCGGGCCGAGGTGCAGAGAGTTGTGTTAGTGGCTGACACGCACATCTGCTTTGCCTACCATCAGCGCCATTCTCGATCCCGAGAGCATGCTCTATCCGGAGGAGACATAGCTGAGGATGCATCCGGAGAATATACTTGAGTTCATGCGATGGGAGGAGGTGTAACACCCTAATCCGTCCAGGTCTGCAGCCCCATTCAGACTAAAGTATTTAACTTGGTAATCGTAAAATTTAAAACTTTTCAAACACACTTTATTAATCTCAATAATATTTTTCATAACATATAAGTACGGAGTATTTAACAATATTGCGGAAGCGAATTTAATATTGACATATCATAAATTATTTCAAAACTTGTCACATCCATCTTGACAATCTCGCCCTATCTGCCGCCAGGATCACATTAATCTTTCTGTTTACCTGCGTGTAGCAAATAAAACACACTACACGTTCAGCGGTGAAGCGGAGTAAGCATATCTAAAGCGTCGAACATCCACATAAATTGAATCTCAATTCATAATCAACCATTTGATATCATCCACTCAATATATGGTTCAAACATTCATAATATTTTCAATATTTTATTCCAAGTCATTTGATATTCAATATATCAATAATGCTCTTAAATTATTCTTAATCTAAGGCCACATCATTTTATATTCAGCTCTTAGCTATTCCTAGTCTAAGGCAACATTTCTAACCAGACCCTTAAACTATATATAGTTTAATGCAGAACACAAGAATCGATAATCCACCCTATGAGTCATGTGGATTACGTACCAACCGAACAATGATTCGTCGGGTGGGTGATATCCGGTCTGGATCCCGTACGTACGTTTTAACCCGAAATATGAATTGGTCAAGTAGGTATATCTTTAGAGTTCTTCTAGATATCCTTAATAATCATCATCAATATACAAGTGGGTATATCTTAGAGTTCTTCTAGATATCCTTAATAATATACACTGTTTTCCAAATCACCATTAATTCATTTTTAATCATGACTTAATCATCAATAATCATTTTAATCAGTAGGTTTATCATTCATAATTATCCATAATAATTATTCATCATAATGATCATTCAACATAATATTTAATAGCAAACAGCGGCCTAGTCTCGGGTGTTAACACCCGAACTTATCGTCATGCATCACATAATGTTTTATATGCCAAAAACATCATTTATTATACAAAATCATATTTAAATTGTTCATAATTAATTAGTGTTTGCAAAGAATATTTCCAAGAATATTTTTGGGGCACTGGAATTGAGGAAACATCGATTTATTCAATAAATTAATATAAAAATCAATTTTTAAATCTATATTAATCTATTAAATATATAGAAATAGATTTTTCAACATATTTTAATCGATTAAATTTGTAAAATCGATTTTTCAACATATTTTAATCGATTAAANTCTTCTACCTTCGGTCCATTTTCGGACATATCAATTTCAGTTACCAAACTTCAATTAAACTATATAGAAATGTTCTCCAAGGTTCATAGATCATTTTAGAATCATTAAAACATATTTTTAACATCAAATTCAAGGTTTATGATTCTTGGTTCTTCAAACATGTCAAACACAAAACTCAACCAAATGACCATTTATGAACGTAAAAACAACCTATATGAACATTCTAATCTTTAGATATATCTACGGGCTTACCTTGAAGCGTAAGGGAGGTTTTGAATATTTTCCGGTGAACCTTCCGGCGACTCTATCTCACTGCTCCGGCGACCTCACACAAAGATGACAGCACCACTGCACTCTACTCTCAGCAAGGAACAATATAGAAGGAAGAATGAGTTGTTTTGGTGATGAAATGAGGGAGTTGGGTTGTCCTTAAATAGCCAAGTGAGGAAGGAAGAAGGCATGGGTTGCAGCTTCCGTGATTGAGCGACGATTTGGAATCGGCGTAATTGAACAGGGCGCCGTTTGGTGTGTAGTCCCTGATTGGGACTAATTTTGGTCCCAGTTGGGGTACACTTTTTGTTCCAACTTTCTCCGAATTGAAATCCGTTTCCACCGTTGCGATCGTGCAATTAAACTCTATCCAATGATATAATTTTTATATTTATTCGTTATACTTTTTCCGACATCATATTTTTGGGTGGTTGACTTTGACAGAGTCAAAATTCATTTAATTGACCTTTGTTCAATAAAATTCATATATTTAATTCATGTTATTTATTTTCATGATTTATTTCAATAAATCATTTCAAAGTTCACATTATAAACAAATCCCTAATTTGGGTCTATACTCTGGTTCCCCAAATTAAGATCATACAGTAAGTCAACATATTGGATTTATCTCTATGAGATTTATCCAGATTGTGATATTTGATATCAATATATGTTTTATTTCGGCCAAATCCAACAACAATTTATTTTAATCAAAACAAATTTGATTAATTGAATAATTATTCATTAATAATTCTAGGGTATATTTTGGGGCGTTACAGGAGGTCGATCAGACCATCACCATCATTTTCTTGAGGTATGTCAAGAACTACGTACGAATAAATTACTATTGTAAATTATAACTATTTGTTATAATTGTAATTACTATTTACCAGTGAAATTACTAGATTGTTGCACGATCATATGATGGTGCACGGCATCACGACTGTCGGGTTGTTATGTCCGGAGAACATGGCATACGTGGTAGATTTTGGAGATCGCCAGTATATGGATAGAGCACTCGAGTCCTATCAATCGCCACCCTAGATACTTATGCCGTTGTATCTATCGAAATCGTATGTTTTCTAAACCATTTCCAATATGTGCTTTGGTTTTTTATATTGATTATTAAGTTAATGACTAACGCTTTTTCAATTGTAGGCGTCATTGGGTGTTAGTTGTAATACGTTTGTTTGAAAACAAAGTGTATTTCTTGAACTCAATCAAGGCGACCGGAGGGCATAAGCAAATGAAAGTGAAGACTTTCGTCAACGATTAAGTATTAAGAAATTTATTTCTTATTAATGAAATTCTTTATTTGTTAAGAAATTTATTTCTTATTGATTTGTTTTTTACATGTATTAAAGGTCTTGGCGGTTACTTCGGGAACGACACATGCCTTAGCTTAAGGCTCGACTAGATTGGATTGATGTTCCCGGAGTACCCCAACAACCAGGGGGCGTTGAGTGTGGTTATTATACGATGCTATTTTTATGGCTCATCGTCACTTTGTGTGCTCAGAGTTCTTTACCGTTAAACGATGTAAGTTTATTTTAGTGTGTTTTGAAACTAATGAAGTGTTCATCATCATTTTCTTTTTCGTAGATATTAAACTTTATGTTGTATGTTGTTTTCGTATTGTAGGTGTTTCAATCTACTTTGCCTTATACCGTAGCCGAATTAGATGAGGTTAGAGAGTTTTGGGTGGGAGGTTTTCTCGATGAACTAGTGTAAGTTTGTGTTGTATTGTATAGTATTAGTTGTATGTTAGAAGAATGTAGTTTATTTATTGTTTGACTATTAGTTTGGGTGTAATAGTTTAGTTTGTAAGTGTTGATATATTTTAGATGAACAATTGATGGAAGCAAATGTTTACTTTTTGCTTTAATTTGTTTTGTTTAATTTAGTTTTGTGAATATATTTATGTTGTTGGGTTGTGTATGCATGTTGTTCTTGTGCTTATGGGTTTAATTGTTGTTCTTTATTTTGTAAATTTTGCACAGAATACTGTGCAAAATTTAAATTCTAGTGAACTGTAAGCAAACAAAGAAATCTGTAAAAAAAATTATTATTTTAATAAGTTATTAGCTAATAACCGATTCAAATGCTCCTTCCCAGAAATGGGAACGAGCATTTGAATCGGTTATTACGAAATAACCGATTCAAATGCCCCCTTCGCATTTCTGGGAAGGGGCATTTGAATCGGTTATAAGCTAATAATCGATTCAAATGCCCCTTCCCAGAAGTGGCGCCACTTCTGGAAAAAAGGCTTTTGAATCGGTTAAACAACCGATGCAAAAAGTTACTTCATCATTTGCATCGCCAGCTTTTGAATTGGTTTACAACCGATTTAGAAAGGTAAAAATAAACGATTCAAAAGGTCTTTTTTGTATTAGTGATAGACACATAAGGTTGCACGTCGGGACACAATCTCTTCCAGAATTCTTCCATTTGATCACCTGGCGTGGACACCAGCCTCGGTGCAAAATTAGCAAAGTGCTCAAACTTATGTCGTAGTTTGGCAAGGGTCATGCTCCCTTGCTACAGCTCCAAGAACTCTTTTCACTTCTCCTCCCAGAAGCGAGCTGGAATGTACTTCTTGAAAGTCCAGTCGAAATAGGCCCACGTCCACGACTTTGGTGTTTATGGCTCACTATCGGTACGCTTCCACCATTCGTATGCGCCCTTTCGGAGCAGTTGAGAGGCCAGCTTTGGGTGATCTCCTATTGGCACGTTCAGATCATTCAGCACTCTAGAAACTTGATCGATCCAGTCGAGTGCCACTTGGGGTTCGGCCACTCAATCACCAAGGAACTCTTCAGCTCTGTTCTCCTTCAAGGTCTTGAACGTGATTTGTCGTTGCGGCGGCGGAGGCAGTTGAAACATTGGCGCGTTCGCCATGTGTTGCAGGAACTCAGCCATGAAAGCAGGCATGGCAACATCGAGCAGGTTCTCGATATTCTGGTTGCTCCCAGCATTCAGCGGTGCATTCGATTGCCCAGCGTTCTGCTGAGGCATGAAGCTAGATGCCACCGTTTCTGTAAAGCCACAAAATATGGCCTAAAATTTATTATAAAACAAAAGTAGTTTTGAATATCATTCTGGTCCAATAAGGAATATTTATACGTTTGACAAAAAATGAGAGGATTTTCAAAATAATGACTTTTTGTTAAAAACTTATTTTTATGGATATTTTTCGATGAGACGAATCCAACGGTGCATTTTATGAACCAATCTGATTTATAGATTTCAAGCTATGACAATTTTTAATACTAAAATTTATAACTCGAACCCATAAATTAAACTCAATTCAAAAGTGATTTCATAAGATTATAAATCTTAATCTCTGACACTTGAGAACACCATATTAATCATTAGGATTTAATTCATATATTTTTATCTCATTCATATTATTAAATTTATTTATGACTAAGACAGACCCAGACACAAAGAAATTAAAGCATTTAGAAAAATATTTTGATTACGTCAAAATTCAAATTTTGACAATTTGATTTCAAAAATACAATCCATTTCTAATTCGGAATAGTTTGGACAAAAACACGTATCGTTTGAGGTAACCTAGTTAGTTTGAACTAAAAATCAAACTTAACAATCTCAAATCCCTCCCAAATCACACAGCCCCTATATTGCTCAACTAGCCACCACATTATCTTTCCACTACCTAATAAGTCAAGATTTCTATATAATACTCCAAATGTTAACCCTTTCCTACACAACTCCACCACCATAATCATCATTATACACCATCATCGTTCACAACACTCCCTCTCCATTTCTCTCACTGTCGGCAGCAACAAAGAAAGAGGAAAAACGCAGCTCCACCATACTCATATTGTGCTAAAGGTAAAGGAGAAGGAGAAACAAGAAGAATTATCAAATTTCCAAAATCCTGAGCTCAAATGCTGCAACAACTTCTATGAATATTTTGTAATTATCCATCAATAATTTTGTACCACTCTCTTCATCAAAGTTGTGGCCTCGTTTCTTACAAATACAACCCAACAAAGTGTTTGAGATTTTGTTAAGAAACGTAGGCAATATAGCCAAAATACCGGGACTACGCCAGTGGTGGCGAGCTCATCGGGTTGGGCTAGTTTCTTCACCATATTCATATTGTTTCATTCAAAATGCTTACGATCGACTCTCTAACAATTACTAGGAACTTCCGGAAGGTATCTTAGAGAAGGTTCGACGTTGGAATCTTGAAGTTTATAAGTTGGTTGTCGGAAGCGTCATTGTTCATCAGAGTATCCGAAATCCTGGCAGAACATATCCGTCCATTTGTGAGCTATATTAGACAACTTTAACTTAATTATTTTAAAAAAGTATTTTCACAAACGTTATAGCCTTACATCTTTAAGATCCACAGAATCAAACGGTTTGCAATTTGATGGAGAAACGACGAAGATTTGACCAAAACACGGCAGACTATCCAACTGTGACGGAAATGAGAAACTTGGTGAATTTCAACCGTCAATTTCCAGGTCTATACCCTCTCCAAGTCTATACCCTTTCGACCGTTAACTTGGTGAATCATTCATCACATACGTACATGAACATATATATTAATCCATACGTTGAAACCATCTCCAAAATATATATGTGATACATATATAAGTCATCCATGATCATGATCATATATAAACCATCTTAAAAACACTAAATCCACCAAGTTTATTTATATACATAAATAAATATAAATATTGGAAATCATTCCAAAAACATATACATGATCATCATAGGTGTTCAAGTTGTATGGTTCTACGCTTGGATAGGGCAGTGAAAACAAAATTTGATGTCTAAACATATATCCACCAAAGACCTCTTATGATCATTATAAGTTATTGTTAAAGAATATACCTGTCTTGGCGAGCAAGAAACGATATGTTTAGGTTGGAGGATTGGTCCAAGAGCTAGCCACAAAAGTATATGACCTCTAGTTGAGACACACGAACTATGAAGAGTGTTCTAGAGAAAATTATGCTAGTAATTTTTCTCTATAATATTTCTAAAATATAAAATATTTGGTTTAAAGTATTAAGAGAACAAAACAAATTTTCTCTTAAAATTAGAGAGAGGGCCAAAAACATATGGGGTGTCAAAAAGGGTGGGATGATCTCCTATTTATAAGGAGCATAATCCACATTCCTATTCCTAATGGGAATGTTCCTTTTAGTGTTTAGGAAAGAAATCAAATCCAATTCCTATTTGACTTGGTATTTTCGAAATACCTACTTTAAGGAAGCTTCCAATTTATTTTCTCAACTTTAATTATCATATAATTAAAAGAAATAGTATAACATTATATATATGCATGCATACATACATACATACATACATATATATATATATTGATATATATATATATATATATATATATACACACACATATATATATATTGATATATATATATATACATACATACATATACATACATATATATATATATATATATATATATATATATATATATTCTCATCAAAGACTCTAACATAAACTTTTTAGCCATTATGGAACCTAAAAGCAACCCCAACCATATCTCCAATTACCAAATAAGCCTTGGATTTGATTTCTCTAAACCCTTCTGTAATAATAAAGTTTGGGCTTTCTGGAAATCAGATTACTTCACCATTGACCCCACTGCTCAGACTCTTACCTCTTCCCAGATGGGGACCCTCCATTTCTCCTCCTCCCCCCTCAACACACCCTGCATAATCTCAGTTATTTATGGACTTCATACCAAGGAAGAAAGAAGGGATCTCTGGAGTTCCATTACCCATCTCTCAGAATCAATTCACTGCCCTTGGATCATGGGAGGTGATTTTAATGCCATAAGCTCCATTAGCCATCATAAAGGAAGAAGCTCCCCCTGCATTGCTAGTATTAATGACTTTGATCACTGCATAAACTCTGTGGGACTGATTGACCCCCCCTTCTCTGGATCTCCTTATACTTGGTTTGGGAACAGAAGCCTTGGTAAAGTATGGAGAAGGATAGACAGAATTTTCTACAACTCCACTATCCAGGACCTCAACCTTCAGATCAATTCCTTTCATCTCCCTAGAGGTAACAGTGATCACTCCCCCATCTTGCTTAAAATCCAATCTACCAACTTCTCTGGGCCATCTCCCTTCAAATTCCTTAACTGCTGGTCCTCCCACAACTCCTTTCTTCCCTTAATTCTTCAAAACTGGGGGCCATATGAAGGTGGGGGAATGAGGGGGCTTTCTAATAAACTTAATTCTATCAGAACTGTCCTGAAACATTGGAACAAATCTACCTTTGGGAATATTTTCAAAGACAGAGAGCTCCATGAAAATCTCCTTGCAGAAGCAGAAAACACCTTTTCCTTAGACCCTACTGATGGCAACAACATCCTCTTACAGCAAGCTAGATCAGATTTGAATAAGTTTGTGGCAAGGGAATACTCCTACTGGAAACAGAAGGCTAACCTAAAATGGGTAAAAGAAGGGGACCTAAACACCAAATTTTTCCATGCTTTTGTGAAACACAGAAGAATGCAACAGTCCATTGCAAGCATCAAAGGGAGGGACAATTCCTGGCTTACCTCCTGGAAGGACATCTCTGATGAAGCCCTTCACTTCTTTCATAACTTGTTCACTGCTGAACCTACTCATACCCACAATGATTTCATCTCCAACATCCCTTCAATCCTAACCCCTGAGGACAACAACCTCCTTACCTCCCTCCCTTCATTGGAAGAGGTGAAAGAAGCTGGGTGGGGCCTCAATCCAGATAGCTCCCCTGGACCAGATGGTTTCACAGGTCATTTTTTTCGAAGCTGTTGGGATATTATTAAAGAAGATGTTTGGAAAGCTTGTCAGGAATTCTTCTTAGGCATTACTCCCCCCAAACCCCTATTTACCTCCAACCTTATTCTCATCCCTAAAAAAGACAATGCCTCAAGCTTCTCAGACTACAGACCCATCTGTCTCTCCAACTTCGTCAGCAAAACCTTCTCCAAGATCCTGGTCAACAGACTCTCCATTATCCTTCCCAAAATCATTAGCCCTGAACAAGGAGGCTTTGTTAAGGGCAGGATTATCCATGATCAGATTCTGATTACTCAAGAAATGTTTCATGGACTGTCAACCAAATGTAGAGGAGGCAATCTAGCAATTAAACTTGACATGTCTAAGGCCTTTGATAGAGTCTCATGGAAATACCTAAAGGATATTTTGGAGGCTTTTGGATTCAGTCCCAGGTTCATTATGCTCATCAACAATATTGTCTCCAACACCAGAATTGCAATCAACTTTAATGGCAAATCCACTAAACCCTTCTCCCCCACCAGAGGACTCAAACAAGGTGACCCATTATCCCCTCTACTCTTCATCATAGCCTCTGAAGGCTTCACTAGAGCACTAAAAACCCTCATGGACAGTAACTACATCCAGCATTTCAGAATGGGCAGACACTTTCTTCCTATCTCCCACCTAGCCTTTGCTGATGATCTCATCATTTTCCTTAATGGAGCCTCCTCTAACCTACACAAGTTTAGGAAATTTCTAAACTCATATGAGGAAACTTCAGGGCAAAGGATCAATCTGGACAAAAGTAGCTTCTACCCCCCTCCCAAAACTCCTTCCATCAAAATAACCAGGCACTCAAACATCCTTGGCATGCATAAGGGCCAACTACCTTTTAAGTACCTAGGGGTTCAAATATTCAGAGGGATTAACAGGAGCCCTTACTGTAAGGACCTCATTGAACACTTTGACAAAAAGCTTAAGGGGTGGTACAGAAGACAACTCTCTCATAGTGGAAGGCTTATACTCATCAAACATGTTCTTAACTCCATCCCCCTACACACTATAGCCATCAACAAAATCCCTAAATCTGTCCTGAACCTTCTCAACAAAAAAATGTGTGCTTTCCTATGGGGAGACAACAAAACCAGTGACAACTATCACTGGGCTTCCTGGGACAAAATATGTGTTTCAGAAGATAAAGGGGGTCTAGGGGTCAGGTCCCTGAGCAATATGCAGGAGGCCTACAGCCTCAAACTTTGGTGGACATTTCATGCCAATGACACTCTGTGGAGTAAATTCATGAGAGCTAGATATCCTAGAGAGAACAATTTCCACCCCCAAATCATTGATTCGACAATATGGAAAAGAATCTGTTCTATACATCCTATTGCTACTAACCACGTTTTTGCAGATACAGAGGAATACTTGCAGTGGACTACTCAACCTATCCAAGACCTAAGCTTCAAGGAAGCTTTCAATATTATTCAGCAACAAGAGGAAGGGGAAATAATCTTACCATTACAGATCACTTGGAGCTCAAAGCAAATCCCTAAAGTGGCCTTCTTTCAATGGAGGCTATACCTCAACCTCCTCCCATTCCCTCCCACCCTCACCAAATTTGGTAGAAACTCCCTTCCCTCAATATGTCAGCTTTGCTACAACAATGAGGACTCAGCATACCACACACTAATCCAGTGCCCTTACTCGAGAGATATTTGGAAATATTTTGAATGGATTTTCAAAATACCATGGCAACCCACCCATGGAACTAATGCATACCTTCAACTTTGGTGGACGAACTTCAAAACAAATAATCTCTTCGACTGGCTAAAGGGCATCATTCCCGGCAAAATTCTATTCAATATCTGGAAAGAAAGAAATAGAAGGATTCACAACAACTTAAATTGGAGCAACAGGAAGATAATAGAGGAGTGTGTTGGACAACTTCAAACCTGGATTCTAAGCAGAGCTCCCAAAAAATTACAGAAGTATGCATCCTGGAGGCTCCCACAAGAAATTCTGCTCATTCAACCACCTTCTCGATACCCCAGAATCCACAGATGGATAGAACCACCGGAAGGCTACCTTCATCTCTCAACAGACATCTCCTTCCTCAACAGTAGAAAGATTAGCGGCTCAATTCTTCGCAGCGATCGAGGAACTTTTATTGCAGCAAGCACATGGAAACTAAGCGCACCAACAATTCTGAAAGGAGAAGCCTTGGGCTTATTACTTGGCATCATCTGGGCGAAACACTTCACTGATAAAATTTGGGCCCACACCGACTCGGAGACCACCGTAAAAGGCATCCTTAAAAACAAAAACCCGGGTTTAAATCATGAACTTTGGAACCGTCTTTCTAACGCGTCCCAACAACATGGCACCTCAATTCGACACATTTTTAGAGAGGGCAATCTGGGAGCACATACTTTAGCAAGATGGAGCAACAACAACAATTTTATTTCATCTTGTATTTCTTTCACAACTCTACCCCCCTTTGTTAAGGGAGCCATTACGGCTGATGTAACCCTTCCGTTTATTCGTTAAATAAATTTCTTTCTCATTAAATATATATATATATATATATATATATATATATATATATATATATATATATATATATATATATATATATATAAACTTTTATTAATAAATGCTCAAAAGCAACGAATACATCAAGTGTTTTGGAAATTTATAAATGCCAAAGCTAAACACATGAGATTTATACAACAAAGAGGAATCCAAACGTTTCGCCCAAAACCATTGTTGAAGAAGCTTGTTTGTAGCAGCCATAACACCCTCTCTTGTGAACCTTCCTTGTGAAAAAACACATGCAGTATACATCTTCCAAATAGACCAAGAAAGCAAGCCTGGAATAACAAACCTAACATTGCCCAAAATGCTGTTTTTATTCAAGGAGAACCACCAGCTGAGAAGCTGCTGTTGGAAAGTCCAAGGCCTGGCTGCAATGGGAGCTTTAGCTACTGCAGCATATGTACACCAGAGGCCAGAGATCTCCCTACAGTTAACCAAAATATGATGATCATCTACATTTTCCTCCAAGAAAAATGGACAAGCTGCATCCATAGAGATCTGCAGCCTTCTTAAATGACAAGGAAAAGGAAGCAGCTTATTAACTCCCCTCCAAAGGAAAAGACTCACTTTGTGAATATTCCTTTGATCCCAAATATAACAGCAAGACAGCTGCTTAGGTTTATGATCAAAGGACTGAGCATAAACCTTCCCAAAGGAATAAACACCATCAGACCATATGACTCTCCCTTGATCTGAAATGCAGTTAGAAACCATAAAAGAATGCACTCTACATATAGATTTCCAAGTAGCTGAATCATACACTTTTGCTGTAAAGGAGCCATCCCTAAAATATTTCTGTTGCATATAAGAGCTCCAAATAGTTCCACCTTGCTGCACCTTCCACCACAAGTCCATAGCAGCAGCCCTTTGACAATTACCAAGATCCCTCACCCCTAGACCCCCCTCTAGCAAAGGGAAACAAAGCTTCTCCCACTTCCTCCAATGGTATTTGTGTCCCATATCTCTAGCACCCCAGAAAAAGTTAGCCATAAGCATATGAAGACACTTAACAATAGACCTGGGAATCTCTTGCACAACCAAAATATGTAAAGGAATGGATGACAACACATATTTGATCAAAATCAATCTCCCCATCTGATTTAGCTTTCTACTATACCAAGCTGCAATTCTCCTCTCAAACTTCTGGAGCAACCCTTGGCAATGGATCTTCCCGAGCTTTCCCTTAACAATGACAGAACCAAGGTATGTGAACTCCCTGGTATGACATCTGATGCCAAGGATGCTTCTAATCTTGGCTTTGTGCTCCTGCCTCATTTTATCATGGACAATCACCTAGCTTTTATTAAAATTTATAGCCTGACCAGAAGCATTCCCAAACTGAGAAAGAGCAGCTTTCAATCTCAGAAGATTTCTACAATCAGCCTTTGTAAATATGACTATGTCATCTGCATAAAGCAAATGACTAGGGGATATGGTTCTGCCAGAGGAAAAAGGGGCCAACTTTTTGGTGTGATGCAGATGATGTAAGTACCTGGTAAATCCCTCCATGGCCAAAATAAAAAGAAGAGGAGACAGTGGATCACCCTGCTTAACTCCACATTTCATAGGGAAGAAACCTTTAGGCTGACCATTAACCAAAACTGAGAAGAAAGTTGATCTCAAATTTCCCAACAGAAGATTAATAACCCTCTGTGAAAATCCAAATCTAAGTAAAACATGCTCTAAATACCTCCAGGATATCCTGTCAAAAGCTTTGGATAGGTCTAACTTAATGATACAATTCCCACCTCTTGCATTAGAGGACAACAGATGCACCATCTCTTTCACCATAAGCACATGCTCATTTATACTCCTGCCTGATTGAAAAGCTGCCTGCTCTAGGGAGATCAAAGAAGGGAGAACTTTCTTCAATCTATCACTTAAAATTCGAGACAAAATCTTGCTGAAAAAGGTGGATAAGGAAATAGGCCTAAATTGATCCAAAGTAATGGCACCCTCCACCTTAGGGATAAGAGTGATTAAAGTACTTCCAAAAGCCTTGGGCAAGGGGATACCCAGGAAAAACTCCTGCACTGCCTTAACCACATCAACCTTAATTACATCCCAAGCTTGTCTGAAGAAGAA